GTTGGGGCGACGCTTGGCTGCCTCTGAAGCACCCAGACACATCTCCTGCCTTTGGAGCTGTGCCTCTCCCGCAGCAGAAACCTTCCTTGAGGGTCACCAAGAGCCCAACTTAGCAGAGATACAAGAAGGTACCAAACTGGCCAGAGGTCTCACAGGACCACGGCAGCTTGACCACTCTGACCTCCGCTACTGCAACCACTTCTTTATCAACGCTCTTATCAGAGGTGGTGGCATCAGGTCCCATCAGAGCGGGGAAGGGCCCCAAGGCCCTTCTTGATCCCTCTTGCGGAGCTGGGAGTGGGGAGATAAGACGGGAACAGGCACGCGGGCCTGTTTTGGAAAACACAGGTGCCGAAAGTAAACAGAGCCGCCCTTGTGTGCTGTCTAGACGCGGCGTAGCCGCTCGGCGGGCCCGCGGCGACCTGCCCTCAATGATTCCTATTCATGAGCTCCGCGGCCATGGGCGGCACTCGCTGAGTGTCTGCGCCGGGAAGAGGAGAAACTGGCTCGACTGGTACCCCGGCGCGCGTGGTCGGCCCCATGACCCCTGGATATTGCTGTGCAAACAGCCTTGGGGGTTAAGCCTGGTCCTTGCAGCCAGCTACAAAAAGAAAACCCCAAAAAATCAAAAAAAAAAAACCCAAAAAATAGGAGGAATCCCTGCAAAAGCTGCTAGGATTGGGAAAAGGTTGCATTTTCTGGGGGAGTTAAAGTCTTTGCACTTGGGCGTGGGAAAGCAGCGTCKTAGTCTCTGTTTCAGGGGCATATTCCAAAGTGAACTGAAAGAGCAATTGCTGCGATTGAGCGGCGAGATAGGCTGCCCCGCGGCCACGCTGTGCTGAAAGGAGCGTGGCGAAGGTCACCTTCCAGCTGGGATCTCGCCTTCATGGTTGCTCAAAGGGGACCCTGGCTACAGGCTGGGGTCGGGATCCCAAAGGGTGACACGTGCTGGGAGCCCCCTACGCTCCTGCGTGGACCAGCGGAGAGATTTCAATGCTGGAGATACCAGGAATTCCCAGTTCTGGTCAGGAGAGGCATCCCGAGACCTCCGGGACCTGAATGATGCTGAGAGGGGCTGCCCCAGAGCTGATGCCTTTGGGCATTAAAAGAAAACAAAGTTCTTTCTTCTGTGCCATCCATTGTTCCCTTTCCACAATTTTGCCTAATTTATGGATCTTTACCCCCACCTCTTATCTCCTCTTTTCATGTTAAAAGTCGCATTTGAGTGATCTCACCAGAACATTGTTCCAAACCACAGCTGATGCTATCAGTTATCTGCCGTCTATGATCTGCGGTGAAATGAGAAGTAAAACAGGAGTTAAGCATGTGGGTATAAAATACACGTCTAAAAGCCATCCACTCGGCCTCTTTGGTTGGTGCTTACTGGGAAATGTATGTGGGTGTAAAACATGGGAAAAGGTTTGCGGGATGTGGGAGGACAACAGGGCTGGTGGGGTGGGAAGGAATCCTCCGGATTCCTCAGGGAAGGTGAAATCMCAGGAGAAGAGGGATGGGGTGTTGGGAAGTCCAGCACAACCAGAGACCTAGCGCCACAACAAGGGGGCAACGGATCCAGCGCAGGTCCAGCAAGGCTCCCTTGCCACAGGGCAGGGAGTATCTGACCACACAACCTGCTACCTCGCTGCTCCAGAACGTCTCCGGGAACAKGTCCCAGCGGAACATCTCCTGACCCTCCTTCCTTCCTGATCCCACAGGACTCGTTTTATGTAAGACTGACTCAGGATCTCGCCTTGTAGATCGGCTTTGGGTGAGAACGAGCTTGGGGTGAGCGTGACACTGCAGCGCCTTCTTGGCTCTCAAGATGTCCCAAGTCCAGCACGGTCTTAGTCCTGACCTAGAGATCCATGCTCGTGTTGGGATAGAAGCGAGGGAACGCTCAGCTCCGAGCCATGACACGGTTTTGCCAAGGGCTGCAATAAAATAAAAGCAAAAGTTATCACATTTCCCCCCAAACTGCAGCATGCAAGAAGCCCCGTGACGAAAGATAAGGCTGCTCAGCGCAACGAGTAATAGTTGAAAATTTTATTCATATAAAACCTCATATTAAGAACATAAAAAGATTGCATCTTAAAAACAAACCAAAAAGATCTGCAATTATTTACAGCAGTATTGCACAAGTAAAGTGGCAATTACCCTGTCCAAAATTCATCAGTGCAAACCACAAGTAAGCCAGGGAAATTGCGATAAAAATGCTACATACGCTGGGTCCTATGAAACAGGTTAGTGATCAATCAGTACAACGTTTGGTATTTAACGTTTGAACCCAATGTTAAAGCTGGTCCGGGAGGAAGTGGCCACGATGGAGGACAACTTGGTTTTGAAAGGGAATAATTAAAAAAAAGAAAGAAAAAAAACAAACAGGGACATATAGAATTTATAGAATTCAGACTTTGACTAACTTTCAGTAATGCTGTGAGTCTCTCCCATGCCTAAACTGCTACTGGAAAACGGGACTTAGGCACTTTCGAAGGAAAACAAAGGGAAACAAAACCTTTACAGGAACTTAAATAAGCAGAAAATAAATATACAACGTTTCTACAAGTTACAGCATTATGGAACAGTAGAGTGCATTAATTACACAGGGGAAAAAAAAAAAGAATCTACAGTATTTACCAAGTTCAATTCTATTTAAAAAAAAAAGTTTGGAGAAAAACAGTAATTCTTTGACTTATTTATAGAGCTGTACAAAACTTACATGAAAGAAAGGAAATACATTGCACACAGATATTTGGCTCAGATGATGAAAAATTAATACGGTGCCCTACTCTAATAAATATTCAAATATTTACAGCTGTCCAAAGAAAAGGAGGACAGCGTGTAGCATGAGAATCAATCCGGTTTCTCCRCAACCAAAGGGGAGTCTTCATCCGCTCAATTTGGCAGGGCAGAGGTAACGCGGGCGCTGCGGGCTTGGAAAGAAACTGTCCCAATTAGCCTGCTAAAAATGGGTTTAATTCCTATTGGAAAGATCATCCGCATGTTCTGAGATTTTTATATATATATATATAAAAAATATATACATTTATATATATATATATATTCCCGGATGGGAATAAAGTGCTGCGGCGCACGGGCCGGCAAGGCCGCGGTTCTTTGGTGTACGCAAGGGGACCCCTTCTCGCTGCGAGCGCCCAAAAATGCGCGTTTTTTACCCAGAACGGAGGCCCCCGCAGCGGCTCGCTGGAGGGAGCGCCTGGKTTTCCTTACCTGCTGTTCAACACAACTCCCCACGCCCGTAGGACACGAGCCCTAAGTCGTGGTCTTGGCACCACGGTGGTGGCAAGAACCTGCCCCRAACCAGGGCCCTTCTGCTCCTCCACCTGCAGCCAACGTCACCGGTTGTTCAACCTCTTTCCCCCCTATCTCCTGCACCCCAGTTCTGTTTCTTCTCCCCAAAACACAAACCCACAGCATCATTATGGTTGCAAAGGACCTTTCACACCATCTCTCCTGCCTCCTTCCACGTGCAAGGGAAGGAGCACGGCCCTACACTCCTACCAGACCTTTCGCCTACGGGACAGGCACCAGCAGCCACTGCATAGGGGTCAGATCCTATGGTTTTATCTGTCATTAAAAATACTACTAATAACACGTGGCACTCAGAACGGGGTTGTTTTTTCCTCCTTTTCCCTTCTACGGTGCTGGTGAAAGCAGAAATAAAACGGGGGGGATCTGGAAGTTGGTTTTAGGGAAYGGGAGCCACCGACGGCAGGCAGAGGCAAGTGGGCAGCTGTGAAGGCAGACAGGACGTGTGTGCACAGATACACCGGCTGCAGCAACGACGGCTCCTTCCACAAGCACCTGATGGCAGAAGCAACCTGCACGCTCGAGATGAAGCGGAGGGCCTCCACGGAGAGGGATCCAGCGCAGCGCGGACACGAGGGGACAAACCTGCTTCTTTCCACGCGTGGAGCCTCGTGTGGAGCTTCTGAACCACGTTTTGTGGCTGCAGGGTCTCCAGATGGTTGGGCGCAAAACACAGAGCCCCTGGGATGCACAGGGCACCGTCCTGGGACAACGTCGACCCCCCAGGAACCGCTTTCCAGGGGAGAAGACCACGAGTTGGAAGGAGGCAGGACCGACGTGGCTCTCCAGGAGGGTCACCTTCAGCAGCAGCAGCCTGCAACGCATGAGAAGACCCAACGCTCCACGGCGAGGGACACGCCGATGCCCTGGAGGATCTGGACCATTTGACCCTGGAGGATCTGGACCATTCGGAAAGAGCCCGTGGGAGTCCCACCACGCACCGCAGGTCTTGCAAGAACGGCAGAAGCTCCGCAAGGTGCCCATAATCTGTTGCTCATCCCCACGCCGCTCCACGCTTGTTCAGGGCTGGTGTCTCCTGTCACCCTGGACGTGTCCGACACAAAAATGACCTCAGAAAACTCTCAAAGTTAAAAAAAAAAAAAAGCAAGCTCTTCGGTTGAACAGTAACACGCTAACCACTGGTGAAAACAGTTCCTGAAGTGACGCAGTAGGACCCTCTAGGTGCAGAACTGCAGGGTTTGGGTACATGTTTTAATCTACCTCCGAGAACGCTTTATTGCTGCATTATCCAAAGTGATCAACACTATATATTATATATAATATACAATACGTGGGCGTCTTCACGCGCACCATTCAGAGAAAAAACTTCTAAAAAGGCAATCTGGTGGACTGGGGTTTTTCGTTTGTTTGGTTTGGATGTGACTTTTTTTTTTTGGACCCTAAGAGTCTGACAGGTACATCTGGAATTTCAGCATTAAAAAAGAGGGGGAAAAAAAAATAAAGAAACAAAAAAATCAGTCAGCAGGAAAAAGGCTATTTGCATGATGCAAATACGATTAATTTGGGGTTACATTAGGTATTTACAGATAAATGAAGTGCTGATTTAAATCCCTCCCCTGTCCTCCAGCAGCCTCTTCCTTGCAGGCAAATATTTGGGAGGGAGAGGGAGACCACTGGTTCCTGGCACGTTCCCTTCCTGACCAGGACTAGGGAAGGAAGGGGCTGCAAGACTGTACAGTAATCTCTGTGATACAAACTAAGGCAGCTCTGCAGATCGGCTGGCTCAGTTTTCTCTGCTGCCAAACAGATCCAAGCCGAGCCTACAGGTTTCCAGGAACGACAGAAAAATGATTCTCTGAGATTAATCTTTAAAAAATAAAAAGAGTTCAAGAGAAACACAGTAAACACTACTCTCAGACAAAATCCTGCTTCAGAGAGTTGCAATAGGTCCGTTGGCAAGGCGTGAGCCTCCGGTGCCTCCCAAGAACACAGGAGCCAGCAGTCAACGCGCGTGGYTTCCATCCGCAGAGACCACGGCGCCTTCTGGCTGTCCTTGGAGGAAGGCAGTTTTCCAGGGCACAGGAAAGCCCCTTTGCTACTTGTCCTTCATTGATTTGCAGCACAAGGAGACCAGTCTCTAGGTCTTGCACGGCCTCCAGCACTCACTGCATCCTCCAGATGAGGCGGATGATGTAGTGCAGGAGGCGCAGGATGACGACCTGGGGGTTTCCTGCACGGTTATCCAAGAAACCCTAAAAAAAAAAGCAACAAAAAAAGAGCAGAGTAAAAGCAATTTTGATTTCAGACCTGCAGTCCCTTGTGCAATGGGCAACACAGAGAAGGTACCTTCTGCTTTGCAATTCTAGGACAATTCTAATATTGAGGTGATGATGRAAAGAGGAGCCAATGCTTAGGGAGCTCTTATTGAGGAAACACAATATACTACCACATAAACTTGTCAATGTTATTTCTGATTTTGAACTTGATTGGATAGAAAAAACATCCAAGCTTCTATTTTACGGGGACACAAAACGTATGTGGTTGTTAAGGAGGGAGGACTCCCAAGCTCTGCTGACAACAGTGCAGTTGAACATCTCCATCCCATTTCTCTTCAAAGCTGCACACTCTGCCCAACTAGTTTGATTGCATTTAACGTCCCCAGGGAGAGCTGGTGGCAAGGTTTTCCCCTGCACATAAATGGCAGTTCATGGTCCTGGTAGAGAAGAAAARCAGCAGGAAGCAACAGGGTTTTCTCCAAGTCTGTCTATGCTCTCGGCCTCAGACTGTGGTTCTTTCATCCAGGGCTACAGGATCGCTTGGTTCTCACCCTCCAAACTCTACGTTTCTTTCCAACAGGGACAAGGAACGTAAATATGGTCCTGCAGACTTGCTAGAACAACAACAAGAATGAAACCATGCAAAGAAAACCCCATACCAGCCCCAAACTCCCAACCAGCACCTTTCCTACAGSCCAATAAATGAGCCCACCAAGCTCTGGAGGAGAGGAGACCACACGCAAACCAACACCGTAGGGCTGAGGAAGAGGCTCTTCTAGCTGGTGAGGGTTAGGAGACACCTCGGGGTGCCTGGGAAGGGCAAAGTGCCAAACCAAGGGCTGCTTCACACCTCTTGTTTCACTCTGCAGCCTGGGCGAAGCTGGGAAAACGGGGAGAATTCACGAGCCACAGCCCTTATTTTAAAGATACAGGGATCACCAGCGAGGAGCATCCAACAAATAATTTGCCCCCTTTTTCCATGCATTTATTTTTAAGGTTTTTGCAAAACAGAAGCGCCGACGTCACCCTCTTTCCTTCTCTATTGGTGAAACAACTCGATTCAGGCTACGTTGCTATGTTTAATATTGCAAAATYACGGCCACGGGTGCCCTGGGTAAGAGGTGGCACCAAGATGCAAACTTGCAGAGCAGAAATCAGGGTGTTTTACACCAGGAGGCAAACTCTTCCCCTCCGCTAAGCYGAGAGCCAGAGAGCAAGGCGAGGGAAAAACAGAAAAAATAACAGGAAAAAAAACAGAAAACTCTAAAAAAGTCACAACAAAAGCACCCAAAAGTTATTAATAAGGTTGTGGAAATAAATGAGGCAGCAAAAAAACAAGAGGAGGCTTTTCTGCCTCGCCGGGCGGCCTGGTCCCGTGATGGGTGGAGAAGACACAACCGCGTTGCCCAAGGTCATGAATTCTCCTCAGCCTCTGGGTTACGGAGCAAACCAGGAGGAACCCAACGGCCCAAAGCGAGTGAGCCAAAACACAGGGAGGAAACCCCACGGTTCGCAGCGCTAAAGCAGCCCTGACCTGTCCAACAGCTTTGCCTCGGGCAGCAGGCGCCTCTTGGGCACCGTTGTTGGTTCCCCATTTCTTGCCTTAGGAGATAGCCTTGAAAGGCAAGTTAAGCCCACGGGGAACAATGCTTGGGACTTGGATCGGAGACCTGCAGAAAGGTCATGTTCCACAACTGGCTTCTCCAGTCCTCTCACCACCTGGGCAGGAGTGATACGGTGACTCAGGAAGAGCAAGAATGGACCCCAGGTTCCTCGTTTCAACGGGGGGAAAGAAAGAAAGCAAAAAAATCCCATCCCAAGGAACTCCAAGGAGCTTCCATAGGTGACTAGAAGTACAAGAGCCAGGAGATGCAACCCCGAGAACCATCTCACATCTCCACAATCACCTACGACAGCTACTGAGGAGCTTTTTCCAGAGTCCACAGCACCAAATTCAGCTCCCAAACCCGGCACATGCAGCAAACACCCCTCTCACACCCGCAAGGAAAACAAGTGCCAGGGTGATGACTTGGGAAAAGGGGAACCCCCCCCCCCCCTCCTCCCCAAAGTTCTCCTTCAGCTGGTTCAGGGATAAGACAAGAAATCRAGTGCAGATCATACAACCCATTAGCAGAAATTATTCAGCACCCATCCCTCAAACAGATGTTTTGCTTTTCCATGAAAGGACTGCWCGCTGCACGAATAACCGGGTGTTTTGCAGCAAGAGGAGCAGGTCTGGATGGGATGCAGGTTATCTCCAGCTCGTTACAGCCTGGGCTTCCKGCTCTATTGGAGAGATTTGCTGAGGAAGGGAGGAGGGCTTAGAGCAAAAGCTGTGCCAGAGAGCAGAGCAACGTTTTGGCGAAGCTCCCTGCACACAGCACACGTAGGCAGGCAGCTGGACATGCTCATGGATGAATGAGAACGGAGCAGGCTGCTCAAGGCCAGCACACACACGGGAAGAAAGCCCTGGAGAGAGGAGAACAGCTCAGGTTGCTCCTAAAGACAATCCGAACTAAGAGCTGAGGAAAGGCTTTCTCTTGCGTCAGAGGCACAGGCAAACGAAGCATTGCCCTCTCCACTTGGGAGATAAAAAATAAGTATTCACAAGGAGACAAAGCCAGAGAGAAGCAGAACAGGGCAGCTAGAGATGACCTGGACCCCGTTTTGGGGGAAGGCTTCTGCTGGACAACAACTGCCGTGTGAATTCGTGAAACGGTGAGGAAATAAGCGGCGTGACTCATGATTTGGGGAGGACAGATAAAGATCCAGGCAGTCAGCTTTTCCTCACCGGCGCTCCCGCGTAACCGGCTTCTGACTGATGGCAGACGAGCGAAAGGACGAGCTGGTGGACTGGAAACCACACGCACCAACACGCAGCCATTAATAACGCCAGACAGGTGGGTTCCTTGCTAACTTTGTTCTTTCTGGAAACTGCTGTTGCTTCATTTCTCTTTGCACTGATTTGGGGTGAGGGGAGGTGGYAGTTCCACCTATTTTTGTTGCAACACAAATGCTCCAAATAGACGTCTCTTAAAAAACCAGCAGTCTCAGGCTCTTTATCAAAGCAAAAAGCAGTCAGTGATCAGACTGTATTTCATATTTGTGACTGAATTTTCCACCTAAACGATCGTGAGGAAGCAGCAGGTGGTTCCTGCTGCATTAACATGCTGCCCATGTCCAAAACCCTGTCACCTCCTCCCTGCATGTGACTGCTCCCCAGTTCCTGTCAGGGTGCCCTTTCCAATGAACTTCTCATTCCAAAAAAATATACCAAAATATAAAACTTTTAGAGGTTGTTTTAGCTTTTTCCAAGTTTTTCCTCCTTATCCACAACTTCAGACATAATCCAGCAAGAGCGTGTTCTACTGGCTCCCAACGCTGTGAATAAAACCATGTATTTTACACAGAAAAGCTCCAAGTCCTGATTCAAAGGTTATTCTGAATTTCTTCAATGACGCTGTAATGGCAAATGACTCCTCAGCACAGGCAGCACACCCGTACACCCAAGCACACACAACCACCCACACAACTCCTCATACACCCGAGTGAATGAAACACTTGCTACAGAACTCACTTCCAGTCCCTTTTCGGGACTGCACAGCAGGAAACGGAAAAGAAAAACCTGCAAGTTACCCTTCTCGGACAATAGGAGGCATTGAACTCATCACCGATGCGCCGCAGCTCCTGTGCAATCCAGATTTCTGGCTGTATATCTTCTGCTACCGAGTGAGACCGCCACCTGGAAGCTGCACAGGAAAGAAAAAAAGAAAACAGAACATTTGAAAACACAGCAAAACTAATGGATTTTTGCTAGGCCTGATAGTCTAGGAACAACTTTGTCTTTTTTTTTTTTTTTAATACAAATCTCAAGAGTTCTCCAAGCACCTGATGGTGGGACTGGTGTAACCTGGAGCAGTTTCTGGGGGTGCCACCTCAGCCCAGCTCTCGCACCCAGCCCCGAGCTGCCACTGCTCTTGCTCTGAGCTGCCAAAATGCCTCAAGTTGGGTTTAAGCGTGGAAACACACTGCAAGAGAAGTCCCTGCATGCAGCACAGCTGGGAAGTACCTTCCCTGGAGAAGCAGAGCTGCAAGCTCACCATGCTTTGCTGGGAAACGATCTGCTCAAGTGCATGCCGTGGGCTAGCCAGTGTGCTTCCCACCCTCAGGCGTAAGAACCTCTCCTAAAAGTTGAGCCCATCCAACCAGAACCTGTCCCTGCATCTTTTAATGGCAACGATGCTTGCATGGCACCGCGGAAACTCCATGGGGACATGAAGGACACGGGCTCGCAAGGGAATGCTACGGGGAATTACCATGAGGACCTCCACCATTGGGTCAACTTACCCACCAGCTGAGTCAGACTGAATGGTATTTATGCTCCAAAGTGAAATTTCCACTGCGGGGGAAATGTGGAGGAAGCAAACGGTTCAAGGACGACTTCCCTCAGCTCCCTCAGAGCCACAAATACCCCTCCACCTGGGCACCTTGTTAATGGACACGTCAAGCATCAAGTACTTCACATCTCATTGCACAAGGCAAGAGCAGAACGAGCGTTCATTCAGCTTCCTCTTGTACTTCTCCAAGCACTGCTCTGCTCTGAAACAGCCCAGGACAGGCTGAAGCAGCTCCAACACGTGCCCAGATGGGGTTCTGCTCAGATCGGACACAGGTCAAGTGATGTGGGCAAAGATTTGCCTCCAAATTGCAGAAAACAGCCTGAAATCCCAGACTTGGACAGCAGGAAGAGATTAATCTGTGCAGCTCCAAGAGGGCAGGTGGCCACGGGGCACATCCGAGATGAAAACCAGCCCCTCCAATTCCCACACAGGTAACTCCTACTCTCCGGTTTCTTTTCTCAGCTAAACCACCTCTTTCTGCCCTTCACAAATGGTTCTGTTTTCTTGCAGGCACAGCAGTAATTTCTGCTCTAACCGTACCAGCCCTCTGCCTTGAGAGTTTAAGTGAATTCTCACGTTTCTTCCTCAAATAGCTCTGACTCCAACAAAGAGAGGAAAATGACTGCTCTCGTCGTGCTAAGCAAGCCACAATTCGATTTACACACACAGGAGCTGCTCTCAGAGCAACCCGAAGGACTTCTCGTCTCTGCTGAAGAACTGGAACTTTCTTCTTCTAAATATTACGCTTCCAGAGTTTAAATAGAAAACAAGGCAGACCTTCAAAACCAGTTCAGAAAACAGAACTGGGCTTACAAAAGAAAAAAAAAAGAACTAACACATCAGTTACGCTCAACTGTACATACCCAGCCACTCCAGTTTCCATTTYAAGAAGTTTCTAAACGACTGATAAAACCAGTGCACGACCACTGCAGGTATGGGAGGGAGGAACCAAGAGCCTGGGATGCATCCAGGGCTCCGCACGTTGCCTGAGCCACCCCTTCCCTTGCTGGCAAACCCAAGCTTGGAGGCTGGGCGAGCGTTGTGGAGCCCTCAACCAAACCCAAACGCCACACAAAACAGGCGCGTTTCACAAACTTGGCCCCAAAGCCCAAGAGGGAATCGCAAGGGAATAYACTGAGCTTCCAATCTCAAAATATCCACAGGATTAGTAGGGCAGTTTAAAAAAAAATATATATTAAATAAGTGTCTGGCTCCAAACTGACTGGAAAATTTATTTCCGAGCCAAACGAGGGCTGCTTGGCTCGGAGCGCTGTTTTGTTTTCACGCTGTAGTAGCGGGAGAGGAGTGTCCCGGGAAGGCCGGGGCAGGCGCCACCGGATCCACATTTCATTCAGCAAAGCCCTCGCCCGGCTCCGCGGCGGAGACGCTAATCCCGCTCGGAGACGCGAATCCCGCTCGGAGACGCGAATCCCGCCGCGCCCGAGGCGGGGTGACCGGCAGGGCCCTCGCGGGCCTGCACCGGGCGACAACCCCTCCGGCGGTCGAGAAACTCATATCACGGCGCCGTGGTTGAGAGCGAAATCGGGCTGAGGTTTTCAGAGAGGACTTTCTGCGGCGCCGCCGCCGGGCCGCGCGCGTTCAAAGGGCGGCCAGTCATACCGGGCGGCAGAAGGCGGCGGAGGAACTTCCCGAGCCCGCCCTGCGCTCGCGCCGCCATGCCAGGCACAGCACGACGCGGCGAGGAGAAACAGAGAGAGAAAATAGGGAGGACAAATCCCTGCCAGGGACATTTCGGGACTCGTTGTTGCTACGATCGCTGGCGGAGAGGACCCCGTTTCCTGTAGGCCAATGGAGAACTTCAAGGCTTATCCAGGTAGGAAACGCTTTCCTAGATGTACACAACCCAAGCGAGTCATATGGGTTCAACCAGATCCATGAGACTCGCTTAGGTTGTGGTGATGGCTCTGGGTCGGGCACGGCTCTTGGGAAGCGAGGAGAAGGCATCGTGGCAGCCAAGGGGCCACGAGCTGCGTGGGCACCTCAAAACACACCCCTTTGCTCAGGACAAACCCTCTTGCTGCTGCCCCAAGACCAAGAGCCAGCGCTCTGCTCGCCAAGCTGTATCCCAGCAAGATGCCACCTCTCACCCTTCTCTTCAGGCATCAAATACACCCCAAAACCTAGGCTGAGCACCAGGACGAGCAGCCAAGACATGGAAAGATGCCTTGGGAGAAAACCTCCTTCTCCCAAGCATGTCCTTGGAGCAGCCAGCAAGCTGCTGACAAAGGYCACCAGTGGCACACGGCTCGGACGTGCACGGATGGGGCTGCTCCAGCGCACGGCTCTGCCCGAGATCGAAGGGATGAGACGCTTGCCCTTCCACGTGAAGGGACACTCGCCAACAGGCCCACGAGCCAACGCTGTGCCCTTGAAGTCTATGCCTGAAGTGCCGCTCAGTTGGGGAAAGGTGAAAGAAGAAGGGGCAGAAAATAGGTTAGGACAAGAAAGAGAATACAGAAAAAGAAGTAGAAAAGCAAAAATGTCAGAAGAGACAGATAAAAAGAACAAAGGAAAAAGGGAAAAAAATGTCAAAAAGCAAGAGGAAAAAAAATAGGGAGAAAAGCAAAGTTGACTCTTCAGTCAACTCTTCAGATGACAGGAGGAATAGAGATCTAAGCTAGGTGCCAGAAACTAATGACAAGCCCTTTGGCTAAGGCCTGGCAGGTCGAGCCTGCCCCAAGCTCAGTGGGAAGGGGCAGGCTGCTGCAGTGGGGWAAAGAAAAGGGAGAAAGGGAGGACAGGGCTGGAAGAGCCTCAGAGACACTCAGGCACTAAGGCTGGACATACTGTGAAGCAATTCTCTCACCACGCACAGGTCTCGATTGGACCCGGGAATCTGGGACTCCCATCAAGACCACTCAGCTGCTGAGAAAACTGGGGCCACCCCAGTGCYCCAAGCAGCCACCATCATCCCCAGGAGGTCTATGTCTTGGGTGCACCCCATGGAGCCACCAGCACCCCCAGGAGATCTAGGAAAGCTACTYCTCAGGTGCATCCTGAGCAGCTTCCTTCCACCTGCAGGTCTGAGTCCCATCTAGAGGCTGGCACCACTATCAAAACCCCTGGGCCATGCTTTGGATACAACTTTTTTTCTTTTCTCTTTTTTTGGCTTGTATCTTCCAAGTTTTGTAATCCAACCCCCCTTCACGAAAACCTCCCTGCAAAAACACTGGAAAATGGCCTCARATGAAACAGCAGGTTATACCCACGAAGCTCAAGGAGAGAACTAGCAGCTCCGAAACGGCACGTTCCGAAGAAAAACGTATCAAGTAACGCTAACGAAAGGGCTCCCACCGTGTCCCACTTTCCACCGCAAGGGCCTGCTTCCAGCAGCCCGCAGCTCCACCAAAGCGGCTCTTTGGGCTGCGGCTCCCCCTTTCCAGCGCCGGCCTCTGGTTTCACACCGCGCGTCAGATGGGTCCCGTTCCAAGAACAAGATGAGACGCACAGAGGCTGGCCGTAAGAGCTGGCCGCGCGCGCCAGACCTTCTGCTGAGAAACTCTAGCACCTCCCTACTTTGGAGCAGGTCCTTCAAAGTTGGCGGTGAGGAAGCAGAGAAGCATTAGRCATCAGCAAAGGACACTGGTGTTTAAGGCACCCACGGTCCTGCCAGCACTGGGGAGGGAAGAGCAACATCAAAGGCAGGAGCCCAGCGACCTCCCGAAGGGAAGGAGGGCATCACCACTCTGGGCATACACACATTTTGCAGCTTCTTAGTTTAAGGTTTCCCCATTCAATTCACTTTTCTGTTACAACCTCAGGGTTTTCCCCAGCTCTTTCATGTTGAGTTTAGATGTAAGCACTCTTGGCCCGCTCCATGTCAAGCCACGGGCGTTATGTAAGGGTTTACCAACACGGTTTTATTCACAACAGCCAGCTCACTATCATCATTATTTATTTTCACGCAGGTTGTTGCCTCCTCTGCTGGAGGAAAAGCAAAACAGTCGCGCAGCRACTATGAAAACTTCACACTTCTTTCCCCTCTTCTGAAGGGCAGGAAAACATACCAAGATCAGAATAGCACAGAGGAAACTAATTTACAAATCACTTCTACGCACCTGCTCCAAGTACCTCCAGGAAAAACACGCACAAAGCCTGCACGTGCACCTCCTGCTCTTGCAGATAAAGCTGCTCCTTGGGAAAACATGAAAAGCGTTGAGCAGCTCCCATGAAGAGCCAAGGTCTGCGGCTCTTCTAGCACCTCTGAAGGGCTGTTTTCTTGTCTCAGGGTGTTTTATCCCAAGTGCTTTCACTGCTACTGCTCTGCATGGGACCCACCACTTCTACCACATTTTTCTTGAATCTTTAAGGCCCCTTCTGGTGACCAG